TTTGTGTCACAAGAGAACTTATATACTATGTAATGTGTTGTCGTATTTTCGGACATTGTTAGCTATAAGAGAAAAGTTTGTTTGCTCTGGTACTGAATTTATCCATTCACTTAGTAAGGCCGTTCTTTGTATATATACGTGTCAGTCATAAATTATTTTAACCAATTTTCGGGCATAATTGTCTTTTATTCAATCAGGCTACACTTATTATAATAATTATATTATGTAAGCAAGTTTTGTATTTCAGGATGAAATATTTGTATTGATACCAGACAAGACGTTGAAAACTAATTTAAGGAATTATACAATTCAGATGCTCTTGTTGAATTTTCAATTAATTATTATTGATAGACTGCCAACTACGATTTTCATTTGTTTTTATAGATCTTAAATATATATCGGTCAATAGGAACAAGGTTATTGTTAACATTATGAAATTTGTTTTATCGACAGTTACAATTGCGTGGAAATAAACTATTAATGATTGTCACGTATGTCTTGACATTTAGTTATCAAAGATACACACTAATTTTGAAATGCATTTCGTAAACGAAATGATCAAAGAATGAATAAATTCTGTCAATAACAACGGATTATATTATTAAATTATTAGAATCATGCATCTAAGTTAATACAAAACACTGAGGAAACTTAACAGTTTCTATAAAAAAATTAAAAATAAAAGTAATGGTCGCTATAATGTTTTTGTTGTGTTAAAACTGTTTCAAGATATTGAAATAAAAATGTCCTACCCGAACCATCATTACATTGATATATTATTTTAATATTAAAGACAAATATTTTAATATGATATTTCAAGAAGAAAATATAAAAACATTTTTCTTTTTGGTGACATTAATTTCTAAATTGTTATTTTCATTCCACCTGTCTGCTGATAAATCATGTACCATATATTAAGGCTACTTTGCAATCATTTCAATGCATTAAAAATTTGTTTTCTATATATGTATTGCCTAATACGTATATTGTTCGTTATCCAAACATTGTATCATAGTTTGGGGACCTTTCTGTTGAAAATGTGTCAAAGTTAAATCGTATATAGTGCATGCGTTAACTGGAGTGCAGGTATTAATTGCCCGCACTCCAGAGCACGCCCATTGATTGGTTCATTTTGCCTGGGGTTTCCTTATTGTGACGGAAGACAAAGGGATAGCGACAGAAATATCATATTCAGATGCTCGTTCATTGGTTACTTTTTTGTGGGGTTTCATATTGTGGTATCAGGGAACGTGTTTTTATGTTTGACTATGATACAAAAGAGAAAGAACATCAAAACACTCGGCAATCTGATTAATACTCGGGGGTGTAGGGGCTACGCCCCCTCGTAGAAATCAGATAGCCTCGTGTTTCGATGCTCTTTCTATTACTTATGCCTATCATTGTTTTTACGATAAAATAGTTTTTAAGTCGTAGTGGAAAACAATTTGATCAAAATAACAGGAAATTTGCCGCCAATTTCTTTTTAATATTATCTCGGTCAAACGAGTTAAAAAAAACTCCGTAGATAACTACAAGTTTATAAATACTTATAAACCGATATAATAAGTATATAGATTTTATCAAACACTTCCATTCTTGCTATAAATATTTGTTTATCAGTCATTTTAAGATAAAATTATATGAACTCATTTATAGTTGTTTATTTTTTCTGAGCAATGATATTGCCTGGCTTTGATCAATAACTAAATAACATTACCTAAGAAAGGTTATCTTTCTAAGAGAATGTAAACATGTGTGTGCTATCTTGATAATCTTGTATGAACATCATCTCGATAAGTTCTGATATAATATTATACTCGTGTATGCCAAACATTTGATATTCAAGGCACCAAAACTGTCGGATGTGTACATGCGTACTAATAGAAACGATACATAAGAAATCAAATCTATGTAATTTGTGCAATAGTTTTATTTTTTTCAAACTGACACAGAAACGTTACGAAACGAATAAAAATAACCAATAAACAGATAAAAATAATAATAAATAAAAACACCCCAACCCCCCCAAAAAAACCAACAAAACATAAAACTTTATGCGAATAGGTTATATAATATAATGTCACTGATTATGTATTTCATACTTGACTTTTAAAGTTAAAACAAACTTTAACCTGTTTTTCTTATTAACTTGATGCAATGTTTTATCTCGAATCGTATTTTTCAGAGCGACATATTATTTAAAAGAATGATAAAAATGACATAAATATTAATACATATTTTTGTTGAAATTACCCATAGCAATTTATAAGTAGTATTTGTTATACACTCAAAGTAATTTGCTGTTTTTTTTCAATGTATACACCTTTTACCACATAAATGAACACCATTATTGTTATTTTAAAGATGTTTAAGTTTATCGACGCAAGTGATGATGACAGTTTTAATATTTATTGTCGACTAAAATATATTTAAAATAATTAATTAACAATGGTTAAACGAATACGGATTAGAAAATGTGCAGGTAGTATAAACGTTCCGTTCCAGTACGACGTCTTGTGTGTTTGCAGTCGATTACGGCTAGGAAAAGTTCTTTGTTTCTGAAATCAGACAGAGTATGAATGATACAAGAGTCGCTGGTAGGTCAACGATATTAATCCTTTTTGCGTATAGGTATACAAAACAATCGCATCAAATCAGATTAAAATGTATATAAGAATAATCTGATAGAGTATTGTATATGCCTAACATTATCATTGAAAACTTGAATTTTTGGATTTTTTTATGAAATGTTGTGAAATACTGGCCCGAGAGAAACGTGCTTACAATTACTCTGTGGACACGATAATATACGAAAATAACGTTCCTAATTTAAAATCATTTAAAAATCATGACGAAAATGACTTATTTGTTCATTATAATTATTTTTATTTTCTTCACATTATATTAGACATTAATTTAATTTTATTGATCTAAAACAAAACAACCTGTAACGATAAAATAATAACATAGATATGAGCATAAAATTTCACAGAGACAATGTCTGACTATAAGCTAGGTCAACAATTAACAAAAGTACTTACCATAGTTGGGAAAACAAAACTAAATTATATGATAAATGGATAATGATAGTCATTTGATAGCATGTATTTAAACCAATGAGTCATTTTATTCAGACGAATAATTATCAGCTTTACATTATTAAAACATTGAAAATTGTCCTCAGCATTATCAACATCAACAACAAGTATAAATCGACAATAATGATGACGAATGTTTCATAAATCATCCCATATTATGTACATGTTATTATTATTCATAGAATAAGATGCAATCATTAATTGATAATTAAGATACTGTTATAAATATTAATGGTATCGGTTATATGCTATCACTAAAGAGCATCTAAATTGTCTTATAAATAGTAAAATTAAAACTGACGGCAATGTATTGAGTTAATACGCTTGGATTGATACAGATCAATGCATGGTAGATTAGTATGTATAGTATTTAGCACAAAGCAAAGTGTATGAAATATGCAGCAGATATACAACTTTATAAACTTTTATAACCTGGCATGAAAAGTACAGATTTACATCCCCATCCAGAACAGACTTTGCTTCTATATGAGCCCGTTGTATGTTGTCAAAAACTTGGAATAAGATCCCTCAACTGCAACAAAAACAGAAATATAAAATAAGACCAGACTTAAAATATGCAAACAAGTCGATCTAAGCTCAGCAAAATTTAATGATAACAAAAAAGGAAAGTTAACAAATAATTTCAACCGTATTATTCAGTAACGCATCTTATATTTGAGTAAGTTTCTCGGAAAATAGCATCATTACAAATGGCTCTTTTCCAGTTTTTGTGTGATAATGTCTTGATGCTTGGGCGAGATAGAAGTGTTGATTTGTTAATTATGTATATGATTGACATAACAAGTGTTTTATCCAATATTTGAAGTATTTGCTTTATCTCTATTCTATGTATTCCTGTTTTAATCAGTGGAAATTTTTACATTTCCTTTAAATGTCCGATTTAAACAGACATAATTTCTTTCCAAATACTGCTCTCGAGGGAAATTAAAATGTTTTTAGAATATTGAACCGTCCGGTATGTAAATTACAAAATTGCATGTCGCGATGGCGCCGTGGGAAATAAAATATATAACATATTTCTTGTATATATATACAGTTTGTGAGTTATTAATTATTGCTTTTCGTATTTGAGTTTATTTTGTGTAGGATGAATTTAAAATGAGGTATGTTGGTGCAACAAACTTCAAGTTACAATGTTATATCAATCCTGTGGTTGTTTTAATAATAAAAAAAACATGTTTGTTAAGCAGTAAAAATTTGCGAGAAAATATCTAGTTGCAAGCATTTTGAACTTAATATGAGCCGCGTCACGACAAAACCAACTTAATGGGTTTGCGACCAGCATGAATCCAGACCAACCCTCGCATCCGCGCAGTCTGATCAGGATCCATGCTGTTCGCAATCAGTTTCTTTAGTTGTTATAGGGTTGGTAAGCGAACAGCATGGATCCTGATCAGACTGCGCGGATGCGCAGGCTGGTCTGGATCCATGCTGGTCGCAAACCCATTATGTTGGTTTTGTCGTGACACGGCTCAAATAATTTAGCAAAAACTAATCTTTTCATCAAAAGTGGCTGCCATTGCTAGTACAACTAATCAAATTTTATTTCGCAGAATATTGGATCAAAACGCTACATCACTTTATACAATAAAATTCTAGTGTTATATAAAAGAAAAAAACTTCATTTATTGTTGACATTTGGGAATGCGAAGTGTTTTCGTGAGAAATACATTAATAATGGTGAAAGTACTTTTGTTATGTTTTATTAAATGACATAAATCTAATAAAACTTGCTATAGATACTCTCAGCAATTAAGTTAAGGTTTCTTTCTCTCTTTTCTGACTTATAAATGTCGAAGAAAGGCTCAATTAATTTCATATAGCATTAAGTGCACTTAGCCCGTGTATATTTAATAATGAAGTGCTTTAATTATATTTCAGAAGCATGTTTCGTGTGACAAAGAATAAAAGTCCCAGAGGTAAATCCGGTGGTGTAATAACAACTCATTGCGACGACAACAGCAGTAACACAGAAATAGGTAATAGGGTTTTTGCTAACTTCAACTCATCGTCACAGAGTCTTTCCACAAGAAGCCTTCTTACACAAAGAAACAATGACTACATGAAATTTTCGTGGGACCCAATGCAGGTACATATAGTGATAAAATAAAGAAATAAAAAAATAATAACAACTATGATAATGACAACTATTTAATTTTAAAACATATATCTTTGGGCGTCCGTGGCCGAGTGGTTAAGGTCTTGACTTCAAACCACATGCCTCTCACCTCTGTGATTTCGTATTCCGAACAGTTCTTTAGATTCTTTCATGTTAAAAAGCTATCAAGCTAGCTTACGGAATGGCGGTGGTTCTACTCAGGTGCCCGTTTGTGCTGGAATTATACTCGGAAGGGAACCCGAAATCTTCCTTCGCCAGTAAAGCTGTAACGTCGCCATATGACCTATACTGTGCCTATACGTAAAACCCAATAAAAAACAACATACAATATATATTGTACGTGATGTGAAGCAAAACAATAAATATTGTCCCTTTCGTATTGAGGTTAGACACACAATTAATAATTTTGTATATTTGCAATCCTTTTTTGCATCCAATTACAGCTGTTTTTCTTTTCAATGCATTCAAAACGGCTTTATAACATTCTCATTCACTGCAAGAAAAACGATCTTTTAAACCAACGCCATTATTTTGATTTATTTCCATTCGGTGAATTGATACATATCAGTTTGCTAGTAAATGGTACACTTTTGTTCCAATTACATCACAAATAATCGTTTTGTTTATATTTTTTATCCCCTTACTCTATCATAAGTCGTTATTATCCAATTACCTATTGCGATGATAGACAGCAGGTTCATAACTGCCAATCATTGCTTTGGCATAACTGACATTAATGTCAAGGTCATTTATCATTGTAAAATTTTAATTTTGAAGCAGGTATTTGAGTGTTTACCTAAGCCATTGGTATAAAACTTGTCCATTATTACTATTCTACAACAAGTAATGCTTTGTGACAGTGCTTTTTTATTTAAGTAAGTGCAATCATTAAATAATCGAAGAAAAGATTTGCTTACAACTTATAATTGGTTTAGCCAAACTAGTAAAGCACTTGTTTCGGCTATTCTAATACAAAATCTTTACAATTTGGTTTTCTTTGATAGCTATAAAACTGCTTGTTGGTAAGAAATCAAGATTGTTTACATTTAGATGTTTGTGTAATGGAAATGTCTGATGATTATTTTGTGTCTCAATTTCTCGTGAAGATTATAAATGAGTTCTGCATCACGTACTTTAAGCTCATCAACTTTTGTTGAAACAAATGTTTTAAATCTGTCAATATATGTATCAAGGACGCGGATCTTAACTGTATTTTTGCGATTTATAAATTGAAGGAAATTAAAGATGAATTTGCTCATGGAAGATCAATCAATTAAACAATAACTAAATGGCATTATTTTCGAATAACATGGCACAACAAACTATTTAAACAGATGAATGGAGCCTTATATGTCTGCGATCAAATCATAGATTGAAAGAAAATTGGTAGATTTCTTATCTAAAATATATCTGTTGTTAGCTTGCATTTGTTTGGGATATTTTTCTAAAACTAATAAGAAGAAGAAAAAAAAAGAAAAAAAAGGAAAAAAAATGTCCAAAGAGTATTATATACTAGTACAAAATTAAACAATTAGACTTATCGTCCTTAGAAACTGTATTTTGTCTTTACGAATCTATCTTTAAAAAAAGTATTCATTACTTGCTGAAATGTTTTTATTTAAGCCCAAAATGTATAGAAATTACAAAAGGCATCTGTATTTAAGTTATTTTTAGAGACTAATTGTTCTTATGTACTTCATTTCTTTCTCCAATATTTAATTGATACATCTAAAACATATAAGTTATGGCTCATAAAGTATGTATTAATATATATTAGAAATTTTATCATTAAAGTTCTAATGCTTTGCACTTTTACTAAATAAGATATATCCATTATTGAAGTATCTAGCTGACTGATGTCTTTTCTTCTATCTAATGTCAGGTCTCATAAAATAATTGAGCGCACAATTCACCTTGATGTGTTTGTTTATTTCTTGTTTATTTGTTTTATTTTTTTTGTACGGTACCAGGTTTAGGGACATTATAGGAAACATATGGCAATTTTATAACGCAGTTTTATGACAAAACATGACTCACTAAAGCAACAATCAAATTTGCAATGGACCGGTACAAAAGTTCAGTGTAATACAAATATCTAAAGCATAGACAAAAATGTTCAATAAAATTTAACGACAGCAAGTGACTGTATTATTAATTATCAGTTATCGTATCTAGATATTTAACTTTTTTTCATATACCAAATGGTGTAAATAAGACTAACTTTGTCTTCTATTTTCTCTGCATTATTATGTTTACAAGATGTTAATTCACATAGTTACAGCGTATTTTGCACACATGAACTACTTTGCTCCTTAGGTGATTTAGAAACAAAACGTCTACGTGATAAAATGTCGCAAAATAACATCCAATTACAGGTAAACTCTTCTAGAATTTCCGATAAACAGAAGTAGAATAGTTATTAATTTCAATGTAAACACAGCGTTGTCCTTTTTCTAACAAACTTAAGTACTGTTGCACGAAAGGTATTTCATTACCTCAGTCGGGAGATTATGAAGATCACAGAAACTATAGTAACGCACGAAATATGAATTGCAGCAAAGAAATTGTCAATATTAGTATGATTGGAAGAACTTTAAACGCTTCTCGGCCAGTCCCTTATCACGAACCCGTAAATGCTCTTTCTTTGAGGTATTTCTTTTTCAATTCTGCTTTGTAGAATTAACTACTGCTAAGTTATATTTGTAAACAATTAGAAAATCAGGGAAAGTGTTATAAATTACAGTGAAGAGGTAACATAGAAGTTATCAAAAGATAAGTTTCCAAGTTGATATAATGTCATGGAAAAATATGCTGAATTTCACTAGATTAGGTTAGGAAAGTTAACGTTTTCCAAAGGAAGGGATAAAAAGTAAATATATACAATATGTGATTGAACAAAGCGAAATCGGTGTCTTAAAAACATTAAAAACATAAAATATGATATCAAAGTTTCACTGATACATTCATAAACTTTTATTAATTAAAAAGGGGCGTCCATGGCCGAGTGGTTAAGGTCGCTGACTTCAAACCGCTTGCCCCTCACCGCTATGGGTTCGAATCCCGACAGGGACTTTGGATTCTTTCATGTGAAGAAGCTATCCAGCTAGCTTACGGAACGTCGGTGGTTCTACTCAGGTGCCCGTTCGTGCCTGAAATAATGCATGGAAGGGCACCTGAAGTCTTCCTCCATCAGTAAAAGCTTGAACGTCGCGATATGACCTATACTGTGTCGATGTGACGTAAAACCAAAAAAAAAAAAATATTAAAAAAGAAACTCATTTATTCCTTATATTTCCACAATTTTTATAATTCTCAAATATTGCAAAGTTTCCAAAGTTTCAATTATTTTGTTACACAAGCTGCTGTCAAGTGTGTTGATCTCGATGTTCGGAAGGTGTTGATAGAAAAATATTGTTTTGCAATCTAATTTCTTCGTTATTGATAACATGTGCCAATTAAATTAAAAATAATTTTAAATAGGCTAGTTTCCTTGACAAATGTAAACAATCTGCGTAAATACTTAACCTTTGTTATGATCCATTATGTTTATTTTGAAAGGAATGATATTGTAAAAAAACATTACAAGGTGAGATTGACAGACAGATATAACCATTCTTCGATATCTGGTTTTATACGAAACTCCCAAGATTACATTACTGTTATGTTCATTCTTTTATTCAAACGTTTTGTATATACACTAATCATTGCCAATAGTGTTGTCTCCCTCACCAATTTTTCTCCTCTTTTACTGCAAGAACATTCATTTTTTGCTGTGTTAGATTTTCCATTTTTCATTCTGTTTTATTTACATTCAACAAACTTTGTTATACATTGCGCCTTTGCACGCTGTAAGATTTTTTAAATACAGGATGGATAAGTCATAAAAAAGGCAGAGGTACTGCCATGCAAAAGCTGTGGTAAATATTTTCTTTTAGTTTGTAAAATTTTGTAAGAATTGTAATTGTTGATTCTAAAAGTAACCAATTTATTGGGTGTTCTATATTAATTGTCTCTATTTGAATACAAATATCGGAAATTTGAGTAAAACTATTAAAACGAACTAAATAGCTTTTATCAAAAAGTTATGACATAACATAATTTATTCCTAGATCAACAAACCATCAAATGGCAAGGTTATATAAAGCACTGGATATTAAGATTTGTTATAAACAATCTCGAAAAACATGATTTCTCGGAAGCAAAATTACATGAAAAGTACAGACTGCATTTGATTGCATATATACATGAGGGTTACTGAAAAGAATGTAACATCCCTTATGCCCCCTTACACCGATTTGAGCGGTATGCTTTGGCGATACACAATTTGCAACACTTAAAGTGCTGGAATCAATTATCCCGAAGGACCAGAAAAAATACAACAACACTGAAATGAAGTATGGGACAAATTTTACAGCGGCCACACGGCACTTGACATTTGTTGTTGAAGTGTAAAATATTTTAAATTACAGGCTAATGAAGTAAACGATCTTTTACAGGCACTGAAACAATGGTCTGTCCTATAATATTTCATTGTGAATTATTTATTTAAAGTGTTAAGTCCTACCGAAACTATGGCAAATAGATATTTTAGTTCAAATGTAGTAAAGTGTTCTTAGGAAATGTAAATAGAAATAATTATTTAAAATACGGCACTCAATGACTAGAGATTTTCTTCAAAACAGAAGTAGATTTTATGATATACGCACGACTCAAAATCATACCTACAAAATAATAACCAAAGATTAAAATAGATTACGTTTTAATAATATGTGGAGCTTAAAAGTATGGAAACTTTTATGAGAGATAGTATCCTATAAAACAAAGATAATAGTTCGCTATAAGCTACAAAATTATGTTTTCAAAACAGCTTCAGGTAATTGGTGCACTTTAATTTCGTTTTGATGCCGGCGAAACATTTGTAGAAAAGCAAATTGTGAGCTCGTTCAATAATTTAAACTGGTATACT